GTGGCCGCCGGGGCGCGGCGCCGGAAGCGCGGGCGGACCGCACCAGCCCTGGAAGAGCAACCTGGACCCTCGGGGGTGGAGCCCGAAGGCCGGGAGAGGGGGAGGCAGGGCCCGCCTCGCGCCCTCGGGGGGTGGCGGGGACCGGCGATCGCACCCGGGCCAGTCCCTGCCCGGGCGCGCGCGGCCGCCCAGCCTTTCACCCCAACTCTCCCAAACTTCTCGGGGAGCCGTGGGGAGCAGACGCCCGCCGTGCGCCCGCGGGCGCCACCGGAGCCCGCCACTTGGACTTGGCCGCGGCGGCGGGGGTTCACCTGGCGCTGCCTGGAAAGCGGGCGCAGGCAGCCCCGGCCGCACGGTCACCCAGGGCCCCGGCTGCGAGCTGGGGACAGCGGAGCGCGGGCGCGCGCCCCGGGGGGAGATGACCTTCGGCCTCTGGGGGACCTCCTCGCAGGAATGCCGGCATGTAAGTGTCCCCTCTCGGCTCGGACCGTTCCTGCACACCCGCTCCCTCGGCCTCTAACCCGCACCCCCCCCACACACACACACTTAGACTTCAACTCCAACTGCTTGGACATCGTAAACCGGTTTGGCTTCAGCCTGGCCCTGCAGGCGCTGGGGAGTGAGGATTGCCAGAGGGGAGCTGTGACAGGGCTGTGGCAGTGGCTTTCTTTCCTGTTTATCCTCCTCCACCCTCCCCACCGCACACACACAGACACAGACACAGACACACACACACACACACACACACACACACACACGCACACCCCTAGAGGTAGACCTCACTTCTGGGCGGTGTAAAACAGCATGGAAAAGGGCAGGGCTTCCAGAATGGGGAAAACGTGTTTTGGATTCAAATGAAGCAAGGAGTAACTGGCAGTCTGCTGGCTGCTGCCCTGCCTGCCAAGCGAGCGCTCTGCCTCCCCGACCTGCACCTGGGGCCTTGGGAAGGTACTGGTATCCGGGGACTGTTGGCTTCGCACATTGTTGCCCTGGCCCGTGGAAGTTACTTACTGGATCTTTCCTTGGGGGTGGGGGGCTGTTTAAATGATGTGGTCTGTCTCCCCCCCCCCACTCTTTTTCTCTTCAAATGAAGAGTGCAGAAGGTGTTCTTCGCGTACTTTGTAGATTGAGAGGAAATGAAGGATCATGCCATTGTTGTATGTAACTTGGGATAGAACTTTCAGGGAGGTGGGTTCAGGGAGGATTTAAATGATTAAAGTACAAGAGTTTGCTTTCATGGGATTTTATCCAAGTGGTGAGGGTTCGGGGCCCTTGCCCGAAGAAAAGGTAGCGGAGTACCACCTAGCCTTCCAGAATGAGTTTAAAAAGAAAAGAAGATTGTTCTCAGAAAAGCAAGATGATGGTGATGATGATGATGATGATGATGATTTTGTTGTTGAGGTTGCTTGTTAAGCCAGTTCTTTATCTTGGACGAGTCATTTTCCTCCTGGAGTATTATTTATTCTTACGCAGACCTTGATAGACATCGTACCTACTTTCACTGACGAATGGACAAATTTCTAGAGATTGATAGTGCCCTCCCCCCACTTATTTCCGTATTTCCACTTGAATTTAGTTCCTCTTTCAGATTTCATACCGTGCAGAAAGACCTACGGATTCAGTTCTCTTTTTCCCTTCCCTCCACTGTCCTGTCTTCTTCCCAACACACATTTTTTAAAGTAGAGAAGGCCATGGCTTACAAGCTAGCATTGTGCAGCTGTTTGAGTAGTCTGCAGTGTAATTAGAAAGGAACCACTTATTTTTGTTAAAACTGCCTGCAAAGTAAATCCTACACCTGTGAGTTTCAACGTTTTACTTAGGCCAGGGGAACAGGCAAGGTACAACATGAAAGAATTTATTTTGGGATGCAGCCAATAGTTTAATGTAAGACTTGTTCTCATATAGAGGCAACATATTCTGAAGGAATGAGTTTATTTTCAACTTTAATTGTTCCTGAAAATGATTCCCAGGATTTTGAAAGCAGATAACTTACTTAGCTGTCTTTCAACTTGAGATCCAGTGCAAAAAGTGCATTTTACAAAAAGAAAAGTGAATACCAGGATTTTAAGATAAAGCCTGTGAAACAGATAAACAGGTAATGTAAAAACCCTGATAATACAATTATGTTATAAATCTATTTGAAATTCCTATGATTAAATAATCATATCTTCATGGGATGAAAGTATGAATTGTCATAAATTTCTTTATTGAGATATTTTGACAAGGAACTTTTCCATTCCTTTCTAGCTTTTAATTTTTTCATTGTTATTTATAATTCATCTGAATAATTTAAGATGTTCTGATTCTTGTTAGATATTGGCATTTTAGATAGGAATACATGGAAATAAGGCCACATGTTCAAGGGACATATTTCTCCTATGCTGTTGATAAAGCGTTGCAATAGAGAACATAGACTCTATAATCTTATGTTAATTTTAACACAGCCAAAGCCACAAACTTTTAAAGTACATTTTCTGCCTGTTAGGGAAGATTAGTTGGATATTGTTACTCAAGTTCTGAAATTGTAGACTTTTAAAATGTACTTAGGAGTTGTAGTGACTGCATATTTTTCATGCCCTAAGAAATTTCATAGGCTTAGCAAGACTTGCATTAATTGCTCTGAAGCTGCATGAAGCTACTGTTCCATTTATGGCTTATATAAATTACATGACATTGTGCTTTTTCAGTGTGAATGGTGAATGAGGCTATTGTCTGTTGGTTTATGGGAAATATTAGAAGCTTGTAGTTATACTGCCTAGCTGAACATGTCACTCTCATCTCCGGACATAATGACTGGGGAGAGATTCAGTTTATACATTTAAAATAAACTGACAACTACTTCCTTCGACCTGACTGTTTTTCTAACTGTCCATATATCTTGCAGAGTTTGCACTTCTGATGAGATGATTAAAAGTTTCTAGAGACTAGAGTTTAGACTCAGCAGGAAAAAAAGAAAGACTGTTTAGTGTGTGTGATATAGATGGGCACACCAGCCTATCTTTCCATTTCACTTCTTATGGGATGACATCATTGCCTTATCTACTTTGGCTGCTGGTTGACTGGGCAGTAACATTTAAAGAATGATCCAATGCAACTCAAAATTCCAGTAAAACTTGACCAGGGCCACCTGAATACCATCTTACTTTCCTTTCTGAGTAAGAATGGAATTATTTAATTGCTTTTCAAAAAGCATTCAAGATTAACTCTTTGAAAACTGAGTATGACAAAGTATGTCGTATGGAATTGGTTTAAAAAGTCACAAATCTGGGAGAAAAATATTGGTATGATAAGAGAAAAGCCTACAATTGACTTCAACATGCCAACCCAAATAAAGGAAATCCAAACTCAACACTAGTTCTTCTATCAAAATGTGGCCGTGATTCCCAGCTATAAGACTCAGCAGTGACGACTGTCCTGGAATTCATAGTGTGACTAAAACAAATTCACAGTGTGAATAAAAGAGTTCACAGTGTGAACTGTGTCTTTAACTGTTCTAGAAAAAAATCTTAAACCTACAAGGAAGTTGAATATATGAAACTATACAAAGAACATCAGTATCTACAGAATCACCTATTTGTTTTATCCAGTGCCCTCCCCATACGCAGAGAGGTATTTTTTTTTCTGAATCAGCTGAGAATAAGTTGTATATACCACGGATTCAGTGTTTACTTTTTTAGTTGAAAAATTTAAAGATACTTGTAGATTTCCTTACAGTTGTAAGAAAAAAATAAGAAAATACAGGAAGATCCCATTCCTTATTCATTCTTCTATTTGGAACCTTTTGTAAAACTATTGTACAAAGCCAAAACCAGGATATGGGTAAAACGCCAGTTTCTCAAGTTTTAGATGAATTCATGTGTGTTTGTGTATGTAATTCTTAGGTTGACCTTAGGCTCCTAGCCGGTTATACATGAATGTTTAAATAAGTTTTAAAATCTGTGATTATTTAAAGAACCAAGTCAGCCTTTCTGAAGTGGAGGTGCAGCTAACTTAATAAAAGATTTAACTTGAGTAATGGAGTCTCACTTTCTCTTTGTATATATTGCTTAAGTTCAGGAACATGATCTTTAACTAGGGAAGAAATACTCATATGACCAGATTTGAATAAACTAAATTACTCTTCTTTTTCCTATAGAAGAATTATAGTATTCATTCTGCCACTCCCAAATCCCATTCTGAAAAGGAGCACAGCTGGGATAGAATTAGGGAAGTCTATGCTGATTATTAGTAGTAATAGGGTTAAGTTCCTCTTGTGTTTTCTAATTTCAAACTCTCCCCACTTTTTTCCTCTAAAATTGTAACTTTTGAGGATACTTATAGGAGTGGAGAGTTGGGAGATGGTGTTTTATAAGGCTAGTTCAATGACACATTTGGATAAAATCATGTCTTTGAGGGCTCTTACAGTTAAAGCAATCCTTATAAAAAAGGTTATATTCTAAAGCTTCATGAATCAGGAATCAAGATCATTATATTTCATAAGCTATCCAGATTGAAAAGGGGAACAGGTTTTCAGTAGAGAGAACTTGGTTCTCAGAAAGGGTATCTGAGTTGGGCACAGGTGACACAAGCATGTGGACTCAGCTGTCTCTGATGATGTCATGTTGGACAAGTGGTTTATTCTCTTAGTTCCCTTACCTGTCATGGTTTTATTGCGCAATTTTTAGATTCCTTTCAGCTTATTTAAGTCTATGATTCTCATTTACTTAAAAACATCTCTGTTCTTTTCAACAGAATTTTGACGCCCCGATCAAGATGGTACACGACTGTTCTGTGTTTTGTAATTTCCATTTAGAACCTTAGTAACCCTGTTTGGGATTTTCCATTCTTGTGAGAAAGTTGTTTAAATCTCAAGGATGTGTCTTTGCTAAGTGATCCCCTGAGAAGACCCACAATGCTTTCCTTCCTCTGTTCTATTCTTAATTTATTTGTTTCTGTTCTTCAGTAAACAGTAAAGTAGATGAAATTTGGCATGTCATATGGTTTACATTTGGTTAGAAGTGCTCACCCTGTCATGGGTTTCTTTTCTGTCTAAAGCGACGGAGCCTTGAACCCTGTACTACATCAAACCTTGGTTCTTATTTGCAGCTATCAGGTGATAGCAGCATTGGTACAATAACTTTGGGGTTGGATATGGAATCCCTAAATGTCAGAGCTTTTTATAGCAAGGGAGAAGTTGGATGAATATGTAGCATTAACATATTGTGCATATCCAAGCAAAGGGGCATAATTCCTTGAGTATTGTTTACACTATATATGGATTTAAGAAAGGGCCATTATTTGTATAGGAGAATTGTCATATGCTACAAAGAATAAGAGGCTGTGTAACTGATGCCTTTTATTATCTGTAAGCCAGACTTGATTGATTTCTTACTTACTGGACCTCATTTTTCTCATCAGTGAAATTTGGAGTTTAAAGTTCATCTTTGGATCTTCCAGCTCTCTAAACCTCTTTGAATATATAATTGTTCTTTTGTTTTAGAAGCATGGTCATTCATCCCCAGCATGAATGGAGGAACACCTCATTCATCCAGCGTCAATAGGAAATAGACTCATTCTCCCAAATAAGTGAGCTTTCCCTGTGACAGAATTTATAGCTTACTCTTTTAAAAGCCCCGAGCAAATACAGTGAACTGTTACCTCTGGTCTTTTCTGGGTTGTTAATTCTATTTACAACAAAGCCAAAAGCTTCAGGGTTTTAAATATCTGCCTGTCCCCCAAACCATACAGTTCACTGCAGAACAAGATGTTAAGTCTCTGCCTTCCCAGAGTCCACATTCATCATCATTATTATTCTTATTGCTTACTTACTGAAACATGCTGCTGTAAGCAGTAGCTGCTTTCAGCTTCAAATATTTTGGATGGATCTATTCAGAAACATGACTTCCAACCCCCCTCCCAAATACTCAAAAGTGCTTAACCTTGTCCCAGTTTAGAGTTTGTGAAAGGAGAGCTGCCCACTGCAGGGGCTTGTGGTGTGGTGAATTCAAAACCGTGACATGTGATGTTTCAGCAAGACGTAAGGCCCTGGATTCAGAGCAGACATGAGTAACCCATCTCATATTCTTCCTAGGTGATCTCAGAAGCAGTCAGAAAGTCAACTGATGGTGTTAGCAGATGAGATTAAGCCTATCTTCCGCTCTTATTTTAAGTCTCTTTCCTTTGATTTCACTGGGGCCAGAAGGACTACTTCTTCGGCTGTTTGGGATGACAGTAACAGTTAATGGGAGATGATATTTATTGAACACTTGCTGAGTGTGGGACACTGTTCTTAAGAGAATTATCTTGGGCTGGGAAGGTGGCTCAGTGGTAGAGCGCTTGCCTTGCATGCATGAGGCCCTGGGTTCGATTCCCCAGTACCACATAAGAAAAAAAAAAAAAGCCGGAAGTGGCGCTGTGGCTCAAGTGGTAGAGCACTAGCCTTGAGCTAAAGAGCTGAGGGACAGTGCCCAGGCCGAGTTCAGGCCCCACAACCGTACCCCCCCAAAAAAAAGAGACATTATCTTATGTAAATGTCTAGGCAGTGCCAGGGACTAGCTACCTGGCTGACTGGTATTTTAGAGTATACAGACAGGAGATAGAGGTGATTGAGTATATTTCCTGAGGGTTGCATACATAACGCCTAAGAAGCAGTGGCAGGGCTGTCCACCTGTAATGATTTATCCTCTTTCTATGAAGTGGTCTTCTTATAGTAAAAGAAAGATTTGAAACAGCAGGTTTTAAGCATGTGCAGAAATCATTTGATATCTACTTGGCTTGTTTGGTTTCCTACCTGGTTAGGTTCTTATAAAGTATTAACAAGGGTAGCTAACTTCAGGCTTTAAGGGTGACATTACTGAGGCTCTAAAGTTGGTCTTTTTAGAAACCAATTACTCTCCATTACCACTTACAAGCATACTAACTCTTTGGAGGATTGCAAAATCTGGAGATTCTCAGTATCCTTTACTGCTGGCCTCAGTTTACCACACCAGTCAAGTTCCTGCTGCTTGCCAGCTTTTTTATGGTCCCCTTTGAGGACTGGCTTTTATACTTGCTGCCCAGGTTTTTCCCTTCATGGCATTGATTCACTCAACAAAATGTACTATACCACTGTTAGAGCAATAATAATATACATTTTCTGTTTTGATCTTTACTCAATATACATTTGAGTTTGAAGAAGAGATTTTTGTACTAAAGGATTAGTGTTTGAGTTTCTGAAGCACAGTCTCGCTATCAACACCATTTACTGATTTCTGTAATACTTGGTCTTTTGTAGCCATTTAAAGAAACCTTTTCTTTTCTTTCTTTCTTTTTTTGCCAGTCATGGGCTTTGAATGCTGGGGCTGGGTGCTGTCCCTAAGCTCCTTTTATGCTCAAAGCTAGCATTCTACCACTTGAACTACAGCACTATTTACAGCTTTTTCTGTGGTTAATTGGAGAGTCTCACAGACTTTCCTGCCTAGGCTGGCTTTGAACCGTGATCTTCAGATCTCAACCTCCTTTGTAACTAAGAGTACAGGTGTGAGCCACTAGCACCTGGCTAAGAACTCGATCTTTTGGGTGTGTTAATTATTCCATGCTTCACTTTAGGGAAAGAAGAGAACTTGGGAATTTTATTTCAGTTTTCCCATTTGCCAAGCCAAACAGCAGATACATGTTTAAAAAAAGGCACATGTTTTCTAGAAGTCTCAGGGATTATGTGGAGATGGCTTAAAAAATCTTTATGCAATTCAGATGATGTGTCATGTGTGTCTAATGCAGTAGAGAGTGTAAAACGGAAGTCATTTTCCTTTCTCAAATGATTTTTTTTCTATACTTCTCTGAGTATTTACCCTTCTTTATGCAGCAATCACCTGGTGCAGATACTCTGGTAAGCAAGGTGAAGCCATGTGGCAAAAATAATGTATGAATTTTTTTGTGTGTGTATTAGCTTGAAGGGGATATTTAGGTCCTAATTATCTTTTAAGTTCCTTCTTGGGATGTAGCTCAGTGATTGAATGTGTGCCTAGCATTCACCAGGCTCTGGCTTCCATCCACAGTTTAGAACAACACCGAAGAATGCTTCTGTCTTCCAGTCCCCGTGGAAAGCTACACTGTGTAATTAGTCATTGTGGTTACCTAAGCTCGTGGGTCCTGATTGTGGCTGTCTTCCCTTGCAGGATGTTTGACTCAGGTGGATTGTGGAGCTACCATTGGAAATGGAAGCCAAGCCCCCTTCTAATCCTGCTTGGTTTGTGTGTCATTTGTACTCCTCACTCAGGTAAGAGATTCTCAAACCATGAATTTCACACTGATGTCATTGTCTTCAGTACAAGTGTACTACCTATTGATCTTACCTTGTGTGGTCGCCATTTCTGCTTCTGTGTTTAAGTTTGGAGTCTTGATCCTGCCTCAATTCTGTGAGAATCCTATTACTTTGATCATTGTTTGGTTTTCTGGTGCCTTTATTTCTTTAATCTCTGCTGTCTTGCTTCTCATTTTCTTTGTTTAGTTAGTCCATATTGAGTGACGAGATAACTACATAAGTGACATGAAAAAGTGCCAGCTGTTTCTCCTGCCATTGAATAAATATACAACACTTAGCTCTCTTTTCAAGTTTTCATGCAGTTATTTATGGAAATACAGACTTTACTGTCATTCATGCTGAGTCCACTAGTGTGTTGCAATATTAAAGAGGAATCTGAAATTAGACATTTTTTTTAAAGATTGCAGTTATTTGGTTTACCTCGTGTGGAGACACTGACTTAAATGATAGTATTAGGGAAATTAAAATTATCTGTATTTTGTAATTGCAGGGTTTTTTCTGATCTTTGTAAAATGCTTCTCTGGCCACTGAAAAGTAGGTTTGTTATAAACAACTGACCATACAATAAGCCAATCAGACTAAGGAATGTGAACAATGTTGAGAAGGAAACTCTCACTTCATTTGGTTCTGTCACTTGAAAAAATGGAATTTCTCTTAAGTCCACTTCTTTTACTCTTTATTTTCTCCTACTGTATTCAGTTTATTACATTTTTTGGTTAGAAACAAACTGAAATGTTAGCTAACAAAATCAGACTGAATCAGGATTGAATTCCATCTTTGCAGTAGGTCTAAACATTCTAAGTCATGCATTTAAGGGATCTTTGAAATAAATTATCTCCTAAAATTGCTTACTCATGGATCAAGAAGTCTTCTCTGTATTTAAATTTAAATGCTTTTTTTCCCCAGGCCACTAAATACTTTAAGTCGTAGCTTAGGAGTTTGGGAAACCCCTGGCACTTGTTGAAAGGCTTTCAAATAAAAGTGATCTTTCAGTGAATTTTTGTGTGCATTTGTTAGAATATCATTCCAAATTCAGTCTTTCTGTTCCCAAGTTATTTACCAGAAGAAGAAAGACAGTTGTAAAGAAATTTGAGATTGAGGCATCAACGGGATTTTTATAATGTACAGTATGGAAATATTTCTTAACCCCCAAAGTGGTCCTCTAGGAGCCAGTATCGTGATAATAAGATGAGTTATGAGATCAAAAGTAATTAAAGTCTGCTTTCATTGTGAGAAGTGATGCATTTGTAAAACTTCAAGATTTCTTCAAACTAACTTCAAATTGGGACTTTTTATTTTAGATGTCAACATTTAAGTGGATATATGCACATTTCTGAACTTTAAGGCTTTTGAATAAATGAAACACATGCTTGAAAGGATTCAGCCAAGCAGAGACTAGAGTTAGGCAAGAAAAGCCCCCAGGCTACAGAATGTGAGGCAGAGGCCAGTGCTGGGGCATGAGTTAGAACTGACGTGGTTTTTTTCCCTTTGTTAAATAATTTATATATTTTAAAAATCATCTTTAAATAGTTGTACAAAGGGGTTTCAATGCCACATACCAATGTATGGATAGATCACAACTAAAATTTCTTGTTAATTTTCTCAGCCAGGATTTGCTTTCTTGTTAAAAATGGCTTTTGTTGCCCAATTTTCTTGTGTGCTTCAAATAAAGCTTTATGACACATAGCAACTGTGTTCACTCATGAGGTCAAATGTTGCGTACAGATATTTTTCTGCCTGTGACTCACCTAAAATGTGACCCTCTCACACATAGATAACCAAATGCTCCCATTATGGAGGTTACTGTGGCCATTTTTACATAAAAGACATATATTAACTGAGCAGTGGAGCTCGGTTTGTTCTTTTAAGATAATCTCACCAGTATGTATTTCTGTGTGGCCTCTCTTACAATCCTCCTGTCTTAGTCTCCAAAGTGCTGGGATTACAGGTGTGTACCTGGAGTTTCTTAAAATGGAATCACAAGCCTTTTAAAGTAATGCATATTACAACTTTAGTATCACAGTTTTTAGTGTTATCTTTTGCATGAAGTTTAATGTTATTTTTAAATGAATAGTGCATCACTGTAGTGCTGTATCTCTGTGTTCTTTATATATGTCTGAAACATTTGTTTTCACTTCTATAGATCTCCATACTGTCAGCGCAGGGGCTTTGTGTGGCATCTTAATACTATCATCTCTTAAATCTGTATTTTTCAGTCTCAGCCACTTCCTGGACCCAAGTCCTTCCCCTAGCTGCTGCTGATCCTTGTCTGAACTTGGGTCTATAGTAGACTTCGCATTTCATACAACCAAAATGAATTTGGGTTCCCACCTTCAGTCTTGCTCACAACTACTTCCCTTTCAGTCTTTTTCACCAGTCTGACTATCCTTGTGATCATCTGTATAGAATTTGTTTGTTATTTTCAATGCTAATGTTTTTGTTAATTAGACTGTGTTAGCTAGATTGACAGGTTGACAACAGCTTTTTTTGTTGTTGTTTTATTTGGTGGTGGTGGTACAGGGATTTCAACTCAGCATCACAGTTGTTAGGCATGTGTTTTACCATTTGAACCAGACCCTCAGCAATTTCTGCTTCTGTTATTGTTCATATAGGATTTAGATTATTTTCAGCAAAGTCAGGCCTCAGACTACCATCTTTTTACTTTGCCTCCAGTCTAACTGGGATCACAGGCATTATCGCTCTCCCCACCCCCACATCCCTGGGCTTGTGAGTTGAGGTGGAGTCTTGCTAACTTCCTCCTGTTGCTGGTCTCATCCTGCTATTCCCTAAATGGGAATAGCAACAGTAGCTGGTGGAAGAGGGCTTTTGATGGTTAAGATTGACATCTAATTCACCTAGCTAGAAGACACTCAGTTGGAATCTGGTAGGTTAATTCTGATAATTCATTTAATAGAATTTTAGTATCATCTCTTAGTAGATAAATTAACATTATATTTTCATGGAACACTTGGAAAACAAATAATCTAATGTTTTGTGCCCTCTGGGATTTAAAAAATGCAGACAGATAACAGACAAGTATAACTTTTAAGAAGAACTACATAAAAAATTGGACATTTGAGTTGATCCTACAGAAATACAAGTTAAAGCAACAAAGTATTTTTACCTACTAGCTTTACATTATTTAGAGCAATTGAGCTCTTTCAGAAGAGTAATTGGGAAACCTGTTTGAAAAATTAAGCATGTGCTTTCTGTTGAGTACATTATTCCCTGTGTAACTGTCTATCCCATAAAAATTAAAACTATATGATGTATGTATGCATATGTATATATATCAATCTAACTGCAGCACTGTAATTGCACACAGTTGCAAAAGACTGTGTGTTCATCCAGAAAGAAGAAAAGTTATATAAGTTATTTTTCATTCATACCATAAAATGTAGTATAGGCCTTCAAAGCAAAGATAAACATCAGCACTATGGGCTTGGGGTGCTATCCTTGATATTAGTGTTAAATTGAAAAACAAATTGCAGGGCAATCAATTGAAAAACAAATTACAGGGCAACAGAAGATTATTTCAGGTTGTATGACAAAACTTGGATTTATTATGGGCCTATGTTTATATGAGATTAGATGAACACAAAACTATCTTACAGGCAGATTTAAGGATGTGAAGGGGAAGATCATGGAATTTCATACTCCTTTTTTTTAATGTTGGTCCAATGAGCATGTACTAGTGTGGTAATTTGAAAATTAACCTGTTCAATGTTTTTTTTTACTTTGTTTTTTAACACATTAAAGAGTGGGCAGAGAGATTTGAAATATGTGGCTCTTATTTTTCTGAGTCACTTAACTATTATCTGGTATTTTGGGTATTGATAATGATCCCTGGTAGGTGTTGCAATTAATAGTGGCTTGGCACTCCATGAATCTGAAACCAAGTAATGACATCTCAAGCAGGCAGAGGGTTGTGGATTCAAGTAGAGAAAGGCAGAAATAAGTAGAATGAGCCAATGAATTCCTAAGCAACCGAGAATCTGTTTCCCCACAGATCAGCCTTGGTCATGAGCACTGCAGGAGGAGCCTCCCTTTCCCCTCAAAAGCAGTGATATCAGCAGATTGCTCCAAGGCTCAGTGTTGTTCTGATATCTCAGGGGAAATGATTTTAAGAATACAATATTTCCAAGGGGCCACTTTCTAGGCCAGACATAACGGTTCTTCTAGAAGGCAGATGATTGGAAAGAAAGGATCTCATGTGTTTTATATTTGCTGGTGGGTTCGTTTTTCTCATACTCCTAGACTAAGTGATTCTATCCTCGTGTCAGTTATCCTTATATCATGTAGTTGATGTATCAATTATATCTTCAGTGATGTTAAATATACATTGTATCTATAGTTTTGTTCTCAATCAAAAGGTTTTCAAGTATCCCGAAAAAATGATCCTTTTGTAAATCTGCATATTTTAAGTCACTTTAGGATTTATGTACATTTTAGATCACTAATTGCATCTGAAAAAAGGAAAAACTCTATGCAAACTATTTCTTAGATTATACTTACGTGTTTGTACATGCATATGCCTGTTTCAATCAGGTGTTTCAAATTACAGTCTAAAACAAAGAGCCATTTTTTGTCAAAGGGACATTTTCCTATTCCAGACATCAGATTTTAAAAGCTAGTTTGATTGAACAAATAAAACCTAGGAAGTTATATACAGTTTCTTTAAGTATCATTCCATATAGTTTTCTTCATGTACCTTTGGATGATCCAAATCTGATCAAGTTAGACATGAAATTTTACATGAGGAGTTACAAAGTCGATTGCCTAAACATGGAGTAAAACCAGGTTATCTAAATCAGATGATTGCGATGGCTTTGTTTGAACATTATGTCTATAGTAAATTCTGTGTTATACTCCTGGGACTGGCTGCAACTGTGGACTCAATTCCTAGGTATCAGTCAAACTATTTTTGCCTTTCTGTATGTTTGTTTTAAGTAAAA